GGGGTTGGAGCTAAACTCTGCAGGACACCGGCCCTCCAGGACCGAGTTTGGGCACCCCTGATTTAGACCAAATGCGTAAAAAAACGGAACAAGTGCTGAATGAAAATGCAATTTCTCTCCCTGACAGTAGGTGGCGTTTATGGAAAAGCAAGAAAAAAACCCTGCTGTGCTACAGACACTATTGTCTGTAAGTGCCAACAAATTAGTTTTATGTAACAGCAATGGCTCTGGGCATGTGACTAAAAAGCCTGAATCTTATTGGTTGGTATAAAGGGATATAGTTCACCCAAAGCAAAATTCTGTCATCATTTAGTCACCCTCTTGTTCTAAGCCTGTATGATTTTCTTTCTTCTGTTGAACACAAAATGCTAGTAACCAAACAGCTAATGGCAGCCATTGACTTCCATAGTATATAGTAAAAAAAAATACCATGTAACTCAAAGGCTACCAGCAAATGTTTGGTTACAAACATTCTTCAAAATATATTATTTTGTGTTCAACAGAAGAAAGAAATTCAGGTATTTTTGGAACAACATGATGGTGAGTAAATAATGATTTTTTTTTTCTTTTTCATTTTTGGGTGAGCTATTCCTTAAGAACACCTATCTGTAAAAAAAAAAAGTGTCACGTTGACGGCATGCAAATGTTTGTGTCAGTCTGATCAGATCCATTATCAGCCGTTTCATCAAATTCAAATGTTTATCACAATGAATGTTTGTCTTGGTGTAAACAGGCCTAAACACTAACCTTGTAAAATGGATGAAATTACTCCTGTTGTTAAAAAAGTACCTCAAATGAACTGACATCCATGAAAGTGCATACTGGTTAGGGCTGCACGATAAATCGCATGCGATATTTAATGCGTATGTTGTCAGAAATCCGGTTCTGTAATCAGCGGTAAATCTCCATCACCTGCGGGATTTCACATTGAGCAGCATTAACTACACAGAGCCGTTGTTCACTGACGAGTTGCGCAAAAAATCGCGTGAATATGAACGTGGTTTTGCGCAGCTCGTCAGTGAACAACGGCTCTGTGTAGTTAATGCTGCTCAATGTGAAAGCCCGCAGGTGATGGAGATTTACCGCTGATTACAGAACCGGCTTTACTGATAAGATGCTCGTTAAATATCGCATGCGATTTATCGTGCAGCCCTAATACTGGTTAAGACCAAACGTCATTAAAAGCTTAAAAGCTAATGTTAAACATTACAAATAAGAGGTCCTTTCATTTATCATCTTGATACTCCCAACAGACCTGTAATTAGAAAGTGTTTTATTTGAAAGTATATAACAGAATGCGTTTGATGAGATGACCCTCCTTTTTTTCAATTAAAAAAATCGTGTAGTTGTGCTTTGAAAGCATTTGATAAGCAAGCTAGCACTTGCTCAACTTGGCTGTAGGGCTCAAGGAGTATATAATATATATATATTCTATGGAAGTGAAGCATTCTGTACCGCCCCAATCACAGGAAAGCTCCTCCAGGACACATGGGCAGAAGGCACTTTTAAACCACTTCCTCTCAAAGTATGTCTCATTTAATTATACTTTCTTAGTAAGCAAGCACAAAATTGCTCAGGTTCTTGCTAAAAAGCATTTAATCATCACTCACTAAATATATGTTTCTTCATCCAGCAGACTGTATGATGTTCAGAACAATGTCTCATCTGACTATACGAGTCACAGCAAAGCCGAGGTCACAGGATGAAACACTTAGGGGTGTAGTTACAAAACGCCCAACAAACAGGACTCATTTCCTATTACAAACATAACATTCCACCTGATAATTTTCCCGAAAATCTGTAATCATATCCTAGTTTAAAGGGGTCATATGATGCGATTTCAATTTTTCCTTTGCTGTAGTATTGTTGCTGCCGCCATGTCGTGAAGGCGCTGTGTGTTTCGTTGTGAAAGCGAAACTACTTTGTTTGGCCTTCCAAAAGAGGACGATATCCGGTATTCGGCCAATCACAACGCACTAGATAGCTGGCCAATCAGAGCACACCTCGCTTTTCAGACCGATGAGCTTTGTAAAAATCGACGCATTTCATAAAGGCGGGGCATAGAGGAGAAACAATAATGTACAGTATGTGGAAAATAATGTGTTTTTTGAACCTTAAACCGCATAAACACATTTCATTACACCAAATACACAAAATAATGTTCTTTTTAGCAACGTCATATGACCCCTTTAAATCACAAGAGGGTTTTCCGTACCATTTTTGCTTGTGCAGGTTGAATAACCTTTCTAAGCGAGTGGAAGCTCCTGTGCATGTTGTTGCTTTGGGATCACCTTTGTTCTGCTCTGGATCTCAACAGTTCTCTATAGCTATGCATCATTCTCACGTTACAAGAGTCAAATATTAAAGCACCAGGAAGCACCAATACCAGCCCACAGAAACCATTAAGATGCCAGACTTCCAACTCTGTGGTGTAATATCTCAAAGAAAAGCACATAATTGTTGATGGCTATTTATTCTGACCATGACGACTAGCTTTAAAGTCGCAGAATAGAAGCTAAAAGGACTTCAGTGTCCCTCGAACATGTCTGATATAATAATAATTAAAAAAAAAGGTTTGTTTCACATCTTCTATAGGACAACTCACATAAAGAGGAATCTATTCATATGGTTGGCAGAAGTGAACTACCAAACAATTACACAGTGACATAACAGCTAAAAGATTGATTATCAACAGCTGCAACTTTCGGTTAATTCCTCATATCATCTCGTCCCTGGCCCGTGTCCTCATCGAAAATATCCAGGACTACGACACTAGTTCGAGCTTTCATGGAATAATATGACACTTTCCTCTCCTCACTTTCCTCTCTCTTGTGTTGGGACAACAATTACAGAGTAGCTGTGATTTTACCGTAATTACTGCAGCTGACTTTGACTGATACGGAAAAAAACTATGGGCTTACAAAAAAAGCCATACGTTTACTTACGATAATATACTGTGCTTATCTGTTCTCTACGATAAACATAAAAGTTTGGTGTTAGTATAGCTTGCTCTGTATAATGTGCTTAATCATGCTTTATATGTGTGTCCTGGGCCGTCTCGTGTGGCGGTGCTCATCTAGGCTGCTGTGTGAGGACCGGGTAGGCCAGGGTTACATTCAGTGAGTCGTTGTGCTGGACCAGAGAGGTGTGTTTGTAGTGCAGGACCAAGTCTTTCAAGGAACCGTAAAGGTTGTAGGGCTCAGCAAATCCAAAACCTGTGGCCGTCTTGTAAACCACACAATGTTTGATCTCTCCATCCATGCTGTTGGAAAAGAAGAGAATGTCAGGCCACAGCTCGAGAAGAGAACTGTGAAGAATTGGACGATTCCAGTTCCAAGTTCCTCTTAACACTTCTAGTTCTAGTCTAGTCTTTCAGTACTTTTAAGGAATCAATATTTAGAAAAAAAGAAATGTTATAGTTTCAAGACCTTTTTTAAGACCTGCACAAAAAAATTTATACTATATGTCCATTTAGAACAAACCATTAGAATCTCAAAAGAAAAGATGTATCTAAGATTATTTTATTTAATTAAACAGGCTGCGCCACACATTCAACTGCAAAACAGGGTAACTGCATGTTTAAAATACTTACGACTTGTTTTATTCAAAATATCCATATATGTATTGAAATTGGTTTGTACTAATATATCAATATACATTAGAGGTTGATCCATATTGAATTTTGCCAATAATGTTTAAAGAATAAAAAGGCAATAAAAACTAGTAACTGAAACCAGTAAAATCTAAATACTGAATGTGTTAAATAATATTTTTAGTCTTTCCTTCCCGTGATGGGGCGGCCCAGAGAAAAGCTACAAGAGTTTATGCTTAATTAAAATGCCAGATACAGTTTACTGTGTAACCAAAACACCAATAATATCCTAAAAAAAGATGCAAGTCTTTCAATTATAAACAAGCCTAAAATGCAAAGGGACTCTTACTTTGGAATGTCTATTTTCTACTTATTACTATTTATTAGCTGCTCATTCAAAAAGGTGAGGGAAATAAAATATGCGCTCTTTCAACCATCTACAACATATTATAATATAAGCATCATGAAGTAAACATTGTAGTAATTCATCAAGACCATAAGCAATCGCTTGGCACAAATGCACAGTAATCATTGTTTGTGAACTGTTCTGAAAGTGTCAGCCTATAGAATGTGCATTCTGACTTTGAAATGTGCAGCTCTCACATTTATTTAAGCCTTTTGAAGTTGAATAATCACATGAGAACATATCGTGATTCCTGTTTTTCAATCCCCAAATTTAACCTCTTAAAATGATAAAGTTATTTTACCATTTAAGATATTTCAGACGTTTTATGGCCTTCAATTTGATCAAACTGACTTTTTTTAAAGGACCAGCGGAAATACATTTAAAACATTCCATGCAAATTGTGCATTTATACACACTCTTTAATGTCTTTTTAGAGACTGTATGTAATCCAATAATATTAAACAATAAGACAAAGAAATCACAAACTGGACCACAAGTCTTTTTTTTTGGGAGTCGGACTATACAGGATGTATGGTTTCTGAATTAGTAAAAGGAACCGATTCATTAGAATTGTTTGTTTTGTTATGGGATTACACTGGTTACGCTGAATGTTTTGCGCTCTAGATTCGGTGTTACGATTTGATTATCAATGCCATTCGGTTCCATTATTTTTTTAAAAAGGAACCGGTTCTGAATAAGATGCAAACTATAGCTGCAGCAAATGTGATGCTAGATGTGGTGAATATGGAAGTGCTTCAGTAACTCACACTACAGAGCAGGCGAAAGAGCCCTTCTGGGTCTGGCTCTCTCTGATGAGGAAGGTGCCCTCTCGTTTGCCTCTCAGGAGATCCTCCGCCTGTGTGCGCTTGATGTCCCCAAAGTACCAGGTACACTCGTCATGATGTGCTTGATCGTCATCGTCATCCAACAGAGAATACAAGCTGAAAGGAATGATTACTGGGGTTTTTTCTATATTTGATGTACCTGCCCAAAATATCATGATTTTGTTTTATTAATGACATTGCATTGTGCAATAAGATATATTATTTAACATTCCTGCTTGCTGTTTATTGAATTTTTTATGCCATGTCATCACCAATGTCTATTTTTGTGGTAAAAACAGTAGTTTAACATACAAAGACAAACAATAAACAAATCCACTATTACATCTCTATAAAATGCAATGTAAGATTTTTCAATTTAATATTTGACATGATTTCAACATTGTTTTGTGGTAAAACCTTTTTTTTTATTTGAGTACTTTTGTCTAATGATTTTAAAAGCAGACAGTCAGTCCATGTTTAAATGTTCAAAATCTAATGTTAAGTCAAGTTCAGGGAGTTCTGTGGGTATCCCAAAAGGACCAATGGACCTGGGTCTGGCTTCATACAAATTCAGATTTCTATTTGAAAACATTATCTAAGGACAAACTGAACAGAACTTACTCCTCTGATTCGTTCTTTATACCCAGCCATTCGTTGATCTTCCTTTGTTTGGTGCCTTTCTGAGTCAACCATCTGCAAAGACATTATCAGTGCTTTTAACATCGGCAATGGTTACCTGTGAATAAATACCCAGAGTGCAGTTTCCTAACACGCTTTGCTGAATCTACAGCATCACAACAAAATAAATTATATTGTGAGCTTGCAGTTACGCCTGCATACCACAAAATAATGTCAAGACAAAATGTTTTTATATAGCGTTGTCTTTACTGGCTTCACTCAACAGTGAGAAAACTTGACTAGCATAGTCCAGTTCACAAACAAATAACTTTTAAGAGCCAGATCTTGTAATTAATCACTCAAACAAACTTACAAATTCACAGGTTTAATCAGTCTGGTGAATCTATACTACCGTTCATAAATTTGGAGTCGGTATGTTTTTTTGGTTGTTGAAAGAATTAATTTTATTTATCAAGGGTTCATTAAATAGATCATATGTCGCAGAATTTTTTTGTAACATTATAAATGTCTTGTACTCCATTAAATGGTGTTCTTTTGAACTTCCCATTCATCAAAGAATCCTAAAAAATGCATCATGGTTTCCACAAAAATATTAGACAGCACAACTGTTTTTGACATTGATAATAATAAGAAATGTTTCTTGTGCACCAAATCGGCATATTAGAATGATTTCTAAAAGGATCATGTGACACTGAAGATTGGAGTAATGGCTGCTGAAAATTCAGCTTTGCCATTACAGGAATAAATACATTAAAACAAAAAGTATTTTAAAATGCAATAACATGGTTGCTCATATGACAACACATTTGCAACACATCAGTTTTGTAAATAAATATATTTTAATTTAAATAAAAAAATGTTACATTATAAAGTGAATTGTTTATACGGAATAAACAATTCATGGAAATATTATAGTATACATATATTGGAGGTGTTCTTACACAAGATATTGGTCCCTTATCTTCCTCAGCTGTATGAGGTCTGGTTTCAAGCTGTTCATCCTCTTGTCTATCTCTCGATTGTCTGTGGCTTGTCGCTTCAAGTCCAGTTCCAACTTACTCTTGCTGTCATGTATCTCTGTCACTCTGGATTTCAGCTTCTCAGAGTTGCTCTGAATTCTGAATAGACAGTAAAAAAAGGTTTCCCACTTATATATATAAGCCAAAACATGACTCCCGATTCAAATTAACGCCAAGGAGTTATGGGACACATCTTTTGCATTATAGTGGTCTGATGTGTAATGAAAAACAAAAGTACCTCTCAATCTCCTTGTCGTTGCCTTCTCGGCGATACTTCTCAATGCTTTCTCTGCTGAGGCGCTCCTGGGTTTCACACTGCTCCTCAAAGATCTTTATGGTCTCATTAAAGGCCTCTATGGCTGTTCGTTTCATCTGCAGCTTCTGAGAGAGATCGTACAGACCATCTCCGTTAGTGACTGTTAATTAGATCCAAATGCATAGGCAGGAGAGATGAAATGCAACCTACTTGTGATGTGCGTGTGTATTCTTCATACAGTACATCATATTCACGACTCTTCTCCTGATACTGCTCGTGATAAACCTTCAGCTGCTCTCCTACTGCCTCGACACTGTCCTCTTTCACCACCTGATCCTGCAGAGCACAAGATGTGTTCACAAGCCTTATTCACCCCAAAATGAAAATTCATTATTTACTCATCCTCAAGTTGACTAGAGATATGCAAGAGATATGCAAAACTGTATTTCTGTCATGACAACTCGCGGAGGGATTGGCATGGTAATGTACATGGCAATGTTAATGTATTTGGTCTTGACGGAATAGATCTGCTACACTGCTGCTGCTGCTGTTGCGGCAGAGCAAGTACCGAGACTTGCTACTGCCAATACAGCCACAACATGCTGCTGTGAGCGTGTAATAAACATTGCTGCTGCAAATATAGCATACATGAAATAACCCCAATATAGCATACATGAATCACCTCGTAGCAGATCTATACAGGTGGAGCTGGGGAAGGTGGAGGGTTTCTGAAGCAAGCTGCAACTGCTACGGCAAGCACTAGTCATATATTTGAATGTTGAGCAGCGAGCTCATTGGCTACCGATACAGGAGAGAACCAATCAGCTGTGCCATGTGATGATGTCAATAGGTTAGATTGAGTTAGACCTATCGGACTGCGCCATCTAGAGTTTCATGCCAGAACTCTGTATTAGGGCTGTGCGATTAATCGGAATCATCATAAAAATCGGGAGTACGTGTGAACTTGGCACAACAAATCTAGTTCAACATCTGAGGCAACACCACAAAGAGCTCTATGACCAATTAATGGCAAAAAAATCCCTGGACACGGGATTTATAATTTTTTTTCTGCTATAGAGACATTTTGTTGCACCTTTACTTAGTTATTATTTTGCCTTATGTCACGTTATAGCTTTTTGATAAAGCTCTAATTGGTTTTCTTTTGGAAATATGTTTCAAATTCACACTGAATGCATTTATGACTGTAAAGCATGTCTGTGTGTGTCAAAATCGTGATTAAAATCGAAATCGCAAAATTGATCAAAGAAATTGTGATCGTTTTTTTTTGTTCGTATCGCACAGCCCTACTCTGTATATATCTTAAATTGACTATTCGGTGGATTGCTTGAGCAACTGGTCGACTAATCGGTCTTGCAGAAGTTTAAGGACCCAATTCACTCTCGACAAAGTTGTTCTTTGTTATTTGTTACTAGTTAAAAAAAAAGTAATACATTATACAGTATTCTATTGCGTAATCGTCATGGATCAATGGCAGTTCGACAGTGTTTAACATCTGACACAAAGTTTCTGAAAATGTTGTGCTGGTGAGCTGTTTCAAACCACCGAAACAACCTCTAAAACACCTTTGTTTTGGCCAGAGCTAACGCTACGTTTATGTCATCCAGTGGAACTCTCATGTACGTGCATACAACAGTTAGCGATAGCTAGAGATTACTGTTTATAAAGTTTTAAATATGGATATTTTTCTTACACAAACGCATCGCTTCACTTCAGAAGGCCTTTATTAACCCCCCAGAGCCGTGTGGAGTACCTTTTATTTTGAACGCACTTTATTTTGTTTCAAAATCCCCGACTACCATTCACTGCCATTATAAAGCTTGGAAGAGCCAGGACAATTTTTAATATAACTCCTATTGTATTCGTCTGAAAGAAGAAAGTCATATACACCTAGGATGGTTTGAGGGTGAGTAAATCATGGGGTCTTTTTTATTTTTGGGTGAACTATCCCTTTAAGAAGTTTTTTTTTTTTTTTTTTAAGTTTGTGCTTTTACTGTGTTTTTGGACATTGAAAGTCAGTCTATAGGTATAGGTTGACGTTAACTCTGATTTGGTGACCTGGTTCATCCAGCTTACTAAAAAGAGCCGGTTCAAAAGAATGATTTGTTCATGAAGGCAATGAATTACAAGTAATAATGTTGTAATGTTCAGTTTCATTAGGAGCCACCAGTATTAATTATGTGTTGCTTTTTTTGACTGTGACTGTAGCCATTGACTTGCATGTTATGAATCACCAAGGACCAACCCTGCTAACACACGACATAACAGTTACGTAATGTATTGGTACTTTTTGGTAATTTCATGACTTACCAATTGACAACGTAACTACGACGTTGCATGTCCGTAATTTCATTAACATCAAATTACTAACTCACAACGTCAACAGTACGTCCTCCTAACATTGTAAGCTTACCAAGGACGTTCCAGATACGTAATCTATTCATAATATATTGGTCATTTCATGACTTACTGGTAATGTAACTGCAACGTTGCGGGGACGTAATTTCATTACCATCATTTACACATTCTTTATATGCTCTTATTACCAAAAATTGCTATTTGAAACGTGTTATTAGACACAAGATTTAAATTTCCCTTAAGATAATGCGCCTGACACTTCTCTCTGTTTCTCATCAGTTATATCAAAACAGTTCAACAACTGCGTCAGATTGGTTAAGTAACATTACCCACAGTCTACTTTAAGTACTTTTTGTTAATATACCTCTGTGATTATGGTATCTTTCCTTAATTATCTGAAATGTCTCCTAGCAAATGTTGCTAGCATAGCATATCTGTTTATAATGATGTTGAACACGGAACGTCCTGAATGCTGTATTTCCTATGTTTTTATTAATAATTTGGGTGTATTTTATTGTTCATATTTGTGCATTTTTGGAAACAAATGACCTGAATTAATTTTGTGTCTGTATTCATCATTCACAGCTGTTGAAACAGCCTTTAAATTAGTTTGGGGACATAAATGTGACCCTGGAGCACAAAACCAGTCTTAAGTCGCTGGGGTATATTTGTAGCAATAGCCAAAAATACATTGTAAGGGTCAAAATTATAGATTTTTTTAATGCCAAAAATCATTAGGATATTAAGTAAAGATCATGTTCCATGAAGATATTTTGTAAATTTCTTACTGTAAATATATCAAAACTTCATTTTTGATTAGTAATATGCATTGCTAAGAACTTCATCTGGACAACTTTAAAGGCGATTTTCTCAATATTTAGATTTTTTGCACCCTCAGATTCCAGATTTTCAAATAGTTGTATCTCGGCCAAATATTGTCCTATCCTAACAAACCATACATCAATGGAAAGCTTATTTATTCGGTTTTCAGATGATGTATAAATTCATATTTCTTAAGACTGGTTTTGTGGTCCAGGATCACAAATTATGTTAAACTTCTGCATGTCCACCCATAGAAAATAAATAATTGTAAAAAACCAACTCATTACCAGCACACAACTATTGATCCACAATGTTACAAAGTTACGATGTAACTTTGGTCACCAGATTACGTCGCAGTTACGTAACAGTTATGTATTTTTGTTAGCTGGGATGGTTTTCGCTAAACATCTCACCTGAGGGTGAGTAAATTAAGAGCATTTTTTTTATATTTTGGGTGAACTATCCCTTTAAGGGGCATTTACATTAAAATACATCATTGGGTTCAAAAACAGCTAGATGAAGGGAATGAGAGTGGATGCAGAAGTCTCAAGACATTTTGATGATTTTTTTATTTTTTTTGTTTTGGACACTGAAAGTTTGTGATCACTATGATCTGTCATTGTATGGAAAAAAGTTCCATGTGAAGATTCTTAAAAAAATCATTTTGGTATATAAGGGTGAGTAAATAAAGACAAATACTTCATTTTTTTCATGAACTACCACTATAACAGACTGTGCCATCAGTTTGATCAGAATGGAGGATCATACCTGCTGATATTTAGACACAGGGAAGAGCAGGCGAGTGTCCAGCTTGGCGTTGTATTGGGCCAGCGACTCATGCTGGTAGTGGTTGATGAGCTCCACCACAGAGAGAAAAGTAAGAGGCTCTGAGAAGCCATACTTCCCCCCGCGGTGAAAAATCTTGATCAGTTTGTTATTGCCTCCTTTCCTGGAATAAACAACACAAGGCTTTGATCATGTCTTGTCTCCGTTAGAAATTTCTCTTGGTAATGATGCATATCAAACGAATGATACAGCAGCACACCTACGCAAAGTATTCATCTCCTATTAGATATCACACGAACCACTGTTTGGTCTGAGGAGGCGCTCACCTGAGGGTCAAGGTATACTCTCCCTGCACTTTGCTTGATGCGTCCCGCACCAGGAACGTACCATCAGGAGTGTCTCTCAACTTCTCATTCACCTCCTCTCTAAAACCACGGGCATCAAATACAGATTCATCATATACAGAAATGTGTGACAATCTTAATTACAGCCGTATAGGTAATTTTGTCAGTGATTTACCTTGAAATGTCGCCCCAGTACCATTCAGCTTCACTCAGTAAGTTGTTGTTTCCATTGGTCACAGATGAGGCCATGGCTTTGGCTTTGGGCGGTTTAGGAGGGAGAGCTGGATAAACAAGGCAAATAAGATACAAATATTTATGATTAAAATAAATACATTTTTATTTATCCCCACACGACTGGGGCCAACATTTGCTTTCACGACTTTCATGCTTCGTCACCATAGAAACGTGCAATGTTATATTACAGGCACAGTGTCTCTGGAGCAACCTGTCTTGCTCAAGGGTGTAATGGTGATCGCTCAGGGATCAGCCCTGCAACCTTTCAGTTACTAGCCTGGATATTAAACAAAAACATGAAGTTTTCACTTCTGTAGTAGAGTTTAAGTCTACACTACAGGGAAGATACAGCTTTTTTGGTCAGATAGACTGACTGACCAACAGACAGACAGAGATAGACCGACCGACCGACAGATAGATGATAGACAGACAGACAGACCGACAGACAGATAGATGATAGACAGACAGACAGACAGACTGACTGACAGACAGATAGACAGATAGATGATAGACAGACAGACAGACAGACAGATAGAGATAGACCGACCGACAGACAGGATAGATAGATAGATGACAGACAGACAGATAGACAGATAGATAGATGACAGACAGATAGACAGATAGATAGATAGATGACAGATAGATAGATAGAAGACAGACAGATAGATAGAAGACAGACAGATAGAAGACAGATAGACAGATAGATAGATAGAAGACAGACAGATAGACAGATGACAGATAGATAGATAGAAGACAGACAGACAGATAGATGACAGATAGATAGATGATAGATAGATAGATGACAGATAGATAGATAGATAGATGGATAGATAGATGACAGATAGATAGATAGATAGATAGATAGATATTTAAGCAATGTATGCAAGCTGATATCTAGACTAAAATGAGCAGAACAGAAAGACTTACAGCTACTAAGAATAACACACAAAACATTAAAACAATCAAAATCAAAAAGACAGCCAACTGTCTTCTCCTGCACAGGAAGTGCATACCTATGTGGCAAAGGATGAGAACTGCGATTAAACTTACCAGCAGGGCTCTGTCTGTCAGAGGCTGAAGCAGTGGATGTCCTGTATAGTGTCCTGGAGTCCAGACCTAGCACAAAATTGAGGCATTAGCTCATCTCTCAAAAATAGATCTTCCATGCCAGCTTGGATTAGAGGAGCAGTTACATCTAAACATTAAATGTAAAAGCCCAGAGATATAAATATATCCAGTCACGCTATCGGGAGAACTGGGAAAACAGCCCAGCTGAATCCCTGAGCCTCGCTTTAGTCTGTGAAGAAGTGAGAAGACGGCTTCAGTCGAGCCAGACTATCTGAGCGTCGCTCAGTCTCTCGCTCAAGGGAGAAAGAAAGGGATGGCTTACAGTGAAAGAGGAAATCTGGATGTTAATAACTGCCATATGGTCTAATAAGAAACATTTCACACCTCGGGTTTCAATATTATTTTCAATGTGGAAATATCTATTCAAAAATAAAATCAATTTAAAAAATAGATCATTTCAATGTGTTTATATTTTCGTTCTTTCTTGTGGCTGGAGGCGCTCTGCAGGGATTCCTGCTCGCTCTGGATTTGCGCTCCGTATCATGTGTCAGGCTCTCTAACAAACAAACCACAAACAATAAAGCCCTTTACATGACATTCAGTGACACAAAAGTATTACCTGTCCGCTCAATTGCTTCGACCAACTTCATAAGATTAGGAGCAGTTGTTTCCGGGTGTGTGAACTGTTTGGTCAAGTCCAGGACTGGAGCAACTGAAACGGCAGAGAGAGAAAAGAAAAAGACAATTTCCCTCAAACCTCTGCTCATAACAACTACAAAAATATATCATTCTCTGAACTTTTGGTACAAATAAGAGTGTCCAAGATAGAAAAGGAAAAGCCTTTCAAAAACTATTATACTATTTTCAACAGAAGTTTAAATTAAATTACATAAACGTGGTGTAAACATCAAGTAAAAGGTGGTAACATTTTTCTTACACCTTGATTACGTGTGAATTTATACACCTTAGTTAATATAACTGACATTTAAGTTTTTAAATATATTTTGAAAGAAGTCTGTTTTAAGAAATATATCGTGATATAAATTTTGGCCATATCGTCCAGCCCTATTTTACATTAAGCCAAAAATATTCGGTTTTGGGGAATCACAGCACACATGACATTTTACAACTTGCAACAAACTTTTGCTTTGTGATAAAAAGCTCAAATTATCTGATATTTTAAGAGACTTATTGACTTTGACAGTCATGAGGGTCTGCAGGGGTCCCCTCTCTGACATCACTTCCTGTTGTTTGTTTAATTTTCCTGCTTTTTGTCTACACAACATAGCTTTGATTGGGCAGACAAATGTTTTTCAAATATTAATAAGTAGCTAAGAATGTTGTTGTTTTTTTCCTAGGAAATAATACAAGATTATGCCAAACTATCTAATATGGTTTTCTTTTCATAAGGTTTTATCTTCAATATGATAACAGGACAGTTGTATCACTGTTTTTTAGAAATTATCACAACTAATTTTAATTCAAAAATTAAAAGCATGTTCATTATATAAGAAGTGTATTCAATTCACTGTGAATGATTTGCATATTTAATGCATTTCTAATTACAATTATCACAATAGATTCAGACCAAAAAAAAAGAGCATAATGTTATTAGGATACCATAGGATTACATTTATTTTCTAAATGAAATGAGTGCCCTATATAATGTAAAATCCAAATCTGAAGTAAAATGTTTCTTAACACCAGCATTTACTCTGGCACTCTTCATTCTCATTTTTGAATTGTGGTTTGCAAGACTGCAGCCTTCTCTACCTACTGTTGTGACTCACTGTCCCGAGGCCAATTTTTTAAATTTGACTTTGACTTGCCTGTTACCTTTTTTAAATATAGTGCTAAATGTGCAGTCCTTCGTGGAATACTAAAGCTGCCAAAAGCAGCAACTGTCTAGCGCAGAAGGCTGTTGACGTGATGTAATGAGAAGGCTCTTCTATAAAATCGGGGTATTTTTGCACCTCAGAGCCAGTGCTGAACTCAACGCAGGCCACGTCTCTGTCTTAGGTAGAGTGATGACTTTGGGATGTATATTTGCATATGGTTTCTTGCTTGTTCTATTGGTTAAAACCCTTTGAAGACCTCTTGCATTCATATAAAACACTTAAACCAAAATATCTAAGTAGACGTTTGAACGCATTACAAAATTACATAGTAAAAGATAATAGGAAAAACTAAATGGATGGAGTTACACAAAGAAAACAAAGAAAAAAAATGTCTATCATACAAAAGCTTTTTACTGGTGAAAAAAACCTATGAACGTTTCCTCCTGTCTTATTCCACCCCTTCTAGAGCAAGAGCTGTCTTGGTCCTTTGCGTGAGTGGAGCACAATAAACGATTTAATCAAAAATCCTGAACAAGCAAAACCCCACTGGCCATGTGCCAGACCCTCCTTTTCAGGCCCACCACAAAGAGGCCAGAGCTTGGCTGCCTTCGCCTCCTGGCAGTGCAAGGCTAAACCACGTCTGATTATTAATTTTGGAGTTCAGACGAAGTGCCATGTCAGCACATTCCACTTTTCCACTGCACGTTAAACATGGAACTTTGCTCGCTTTTCCCTCTTACGGACATGAAGCCTGCCTCTTCCGCCCTCAATTGTTCCTCATCTCGCACATTTAACATGACACGGACGTGAATCCATGTTTTACTCTTAATCCATGTTATATCTTTGCTTTCCTGGGGACGCATTACAGAAACTTCCTAACTTAATTCTTGAATTAAAAGTTCTTTTATAAAACGGATAGTTCCGGTCCTTGATTCTGATTGGTTGACCAGCTCGAAGCTGTTGTAAATTAAGGCCTGTTCACACCAAGGACGATAACTATAAAGATAACGATAAAGATACAGTTCTAAAAATCGTTCCCAATATTAAAGATTAGCAGAGTACACACCACAACTATAACGATAAAGACAAAGAGAAACGATATCGTTGGAATCACTTTCGGAATGATTTTTCTCCAGCTGATGAACGATAAAAAATTGACAGCCAATCAGAATCCATCCTGCTGTAACGAGCTCAAGAATTTAAAGCGGCAGACGTGTGTGCGCTTAGAATAAACAGACCATATCGTTCACTGGTGTGGATGCTAATATCGTTATCTTTATAGTTATCGTTCTTGGTGTGAACGGGGCTTTACTGCTCGGCAACCACTTTGTTGGAACCACAACTGTTTCTGAGGAACTACATTGTTTGGTGGAAGAATACTGTTTTTATTTATATCATTACACTTTATTTGTTCTGTTTTATTCTGTGAAACCTTACTACGTATATGGAATAACAGTTTTATAAAAGCAATAAGCCCCATGAAGCCGTGGTTTACAGTGACTTTATAACAGCTAAGGGGGTTTTAGGCACTCCACTTCGCGTCGTGCCTAACAACGCTTTATTTGCTGTGAAATTACCATGGTTACTAAACAAATAGGAAAGGGTTAGGTTGTTTCTGTAATACAGCAAAATTAAAAAGAACAAAATTAAGCTTATTTTATTTGCAACTTTAGACTAAGATTTCTTTGTCAAGTACACATTTAAAAGACTGTTTTACACATACTGACATTCATACTTTCAATTATGCATGATTATAATTCATCAGTCTCTATTGACAACACATTTGAACCATGGACAGAATTAATTTTCTGTACATTGTCTGGTTGTCTTCATAGGTGACATCATGACACCATTGTTTTTGTCCGGATCTATTTATTTATTCAGAAATACATTATAAATGCAATTTAAACAATGACTTTAAAACACCTCGTCTAGTGACCTTTTTGTTTAATTTCAGGATTAAAATTAATTTCATTTTCATTTGAGGGGCATCTCCAAAATGTCCAAGAGATTGTTTAACTAGGCAAAAATGTCTAGAAAGTGATTTGTCCTTATCTCATAATGAAGAAAACAAATTTGATGTAATTTTTTTAATTAAAAGAATGAAAGCCATGAAATGAAAAGTAGTTTCACATGCGTTTTAAACAAAACATTTTAAAAGCAGTTTCCTTTTCTTTATCGTGGACACTCTTGTTGGTCATTGACAAATGACTGCTTTCTCTACAGGGTGGTCACTGATAACAAAATATAAAAAACAACCTAAATATATTCCTTCACTAATAAACAAACTAAACTATAGCTGCAAACTCACTGGCACAAACACTCAAACGCTCAGCAGGGGTTTTTGTGCAAAATACTGCTTTTAGGAAAAACAGCTGTGGCCCTCCAGTCATTGTTGGTTTTTGGAGAGAGAACCAACTAATCATTACCCAATTATAGTCGTCTTGGTAGTCTGCATTCTGGCTGGCCTGCAACTGAATGTGCCCTGGGAAAAAAAACAACTGCAACAACTAATGATATGATTACTGCAACAGCTTGCTTTATTCGGCTGTCACTTCTTCACGGCTACTGTCAAGGCAAATTCGATCATATCTGTGCTTATATGGTAGGCTAACAAAAGTAAGCAACTTTTCTTCTGTTGTTTATCATTTTATCCCTGCTGAATTTAAGTTAAACAACAGCCTACCTTTTGGTAGGCCACACCGCACGACTTTGCAGTTGTACTTGTGTGTGCTCGACTTGCGCTCTGATGTGTTCATTAACTTTGATTTGGCATTGCTCTACTAATGGAAAATGATGTCTTTGTACTCTGAGAATATGATTATGTAAGACAACTTTCACCTACATTGCTTTGTGCAGTTCAGTAATCTGGACACCTTATTCATAGCTAACCGAAGGCCTAGCCCATTTCCTTTCACTGGAGCTCTAAACCTCTCAACATATTTTAATCTCAATGCAGTGCAAACGGTATTAAGAAACACAACACACAAAAGCCGCAACTACAAGAGACAGTCTTATATAGCTCAAGTTTCTTTTTGTTGAGAATTATCGGCTTCGGGCCTGACAGGCTTTCTGCACTGACGGAGTGCAACAGAAGACAGAAACGAAAAAGGGGAAAAAAAAATCAGAATTTTGATAAGACTAAAATATTAAAAAAATATATCTAATGTATACTACCATTCAAAAGTTTGGGGTCAGTAAGATTTTTTAATGTTTTTGAAGGAACCATCTTGCATTAAAGCACTTAAAGTTAACCTTTCAAACACTAATAATTTAATTACACCATTAAATGTTTTGCAAATCTCAAAATAAACATCCATTTTCCACACTGTACATTATGTTGTAATGCCTAAATTCACTTGTATTTTAAACAATTAATTTTAGTTTTCAAACATCAATAAAACAGATTGTAAAAAAAAAAAAAAAAAAGCCACATAACATTACATTTACCTCAGGAAAGCAATTCAATGTCCATAAATTTGTTAATCAAATACACAAAAAAATATATATAATTGTGTTACATTTGTAAATATGCACTATACACTATGTTACATTTGTAAATATGCACTATATTACATATTTATTGTATTGTTATTTAACCCATTAGTGATGTCTTATTTTATGTATGTTTGAATAAATCTGTCAAATTTCTGATGTTTTTCTGACAGCTACTGTTTAAATTTGAACAATTAACGGATGGATTGATTTTAGTCTTTAGTATTTTACTTTTCATTTAAAGAAAATACAGAATTTAATTATATACCCTTTTATTGGTTATTGGCTATAACATGAAAATGAACATCAGCTTATCAATATTAGCCAGAATAGTAATATCCGTTCATCCCTAGTGGGCATCATTCCCAAATTTCTACTC